AACAAAAAAACATAGCAACCTATTATCTGTAAAAAAAAAATAATGAAAGTAGAGTTAGTATGACTTTATTGCCAAATACATTAAGTAATAAAGATAATAATAAATATGATAATGATTATATAACTAATAGCATACTATCTAAAGATACTAATAAATATAATAGTAATTATGTAACTTGTGATATATCATCTAAAAATAATTCTAACACAAATCAGTTATCCAAACTAAATCTTAAAGATCTTTAACTTGTATCTATTAACATAATGTTTAAATTTTTTCTAAGAAATAATTATTTTTCTGAATTTGTATAAGCATAGTTGAGTGTTTGGTTAAAGTTAATAGAATAAATAGATTTAAGCCATGTGGCTATTTAATAGAATAAATGGATTTAAGCCATGTGGCTATTTAATAGAATCAGTAGATAGTTCAACAAACAATTTTATTAGAAATTTGATATCACAACATGCAATTACAGAAGAATTGCACAAACAAAAATCTCAGCAAAATACAAAACAACAAAATATTAATCAAGTATTTCAAAGAATTACAGCAAATGATTCTAAGCAAAAAACAATTCAAAATCAAAATTTTATTTGTATATTAATTAAAGATCAGCTATTTATTAATATATGAGAAAGGATTGGCTTTATTAAATTTTTAGCAAAGTTTGATTCTAATTACTGGTTGTCTTGTAAAAGAACTTGCTAAAAGTTATCTATAAATGTTTTTTTAAGTTTTAGGAAGAATATCAAAAAAATACTTAATATTAATGCTTTCTCTTGTTCTTTGACTTGTAATTTGTGAACAGGATATAACTATATAGAATATTTTGAAGTAATGTACTTATTCATTGATAATAATTTTCAATTAAATAAAGTCATATAGTTAAGACTATAAAATGCATGCCTAATATTATTCAAATTTTGTGCATGACTCACACCTTGTAGCTTGCTATTAGAAAAAGGTTGTTGGATACAAAACATATTATAGATGCTGAGGTCTAAGTAAACTCTATAAGGGCATAGCAGTTTAATAGTTAGCTCTGATCATAAGTGTTGGTTCTGCCATAGCGATACCTAGGTCAGCTGTAAAAATAGGTACAGAAGGCTCTGGGGGT